AAGTTGAAGACTTGACCCAGGGCTCCACTCGTCTGAGTTGGCTTGGGCTTCAGGATAACATCACGACAAACTAATGCTACATTCGGAAGGAAGCCGAGAAGACTCCTGATGTTGTGGTGACAAAAGAAGGGCCAGTGAGCTAGAGGCTTCTACAAGCTGTCGTTCTTTTACTCTCTCTCTCTCTGGTATTCAGGTCTCTCGCGAAGCATTGTGTTAAGTTAGTGCCAAGAACAGCATGTCCTCATTGAGTTGTATTAAGTCTATACAGACAAATCCGTTGCGGTTTGTTAATTAGCGAATGAATCTAGAGGTAAGCTTATTTTCCTCTTGCCTGATCGAGCCCACTAATCTGTATGCATTTCGTACGCGATTCTTCGTATTACCTGCGATGCCGGCGGGTTCCCCACTGTGGGGGTGATTAGCTACAAAGATGTCCACATCGACCTCATTGATAAATACAGCCTTCACCTGCACCACGCACACGTTCTTATAGGATTCATCCTAGGGAATGCAGATTGACTCGCAGTAACTCACTTGAAAAGAGCAACTTTCGTGAGTTTTGCATAAGTATACGCGATATCCAGGTCCTGTTTCCTTCACCCACATCTATGTTGTGACACAAGTGAATCGTCGAGAGGCTGATGAGATGCTACCTTCACATCAAACTGCTGCTGAATGACTTCCTTCAGCTTATCCGTCCATACTTTTTTAGGGACCTGCTCTCGGTCCACGCCATGGCTCAAAGTCGGACGAGTCGAGCTGCAGGGCTCGACTCGACTCGACATTTCTCCGCCACCGGGCTCGACCGAGTTCGACTCGTCGAAAATCAGACGAGCCTCGACTCGACTCGCCGGACTCGACATGCCGGAAGGTGGTCAATACCATTGACTCAATAGGTACTAACTGTGACTGATGCCAACTAGGTTCAACCAGGTCTATGGAAGTCTCCCATTGGAAGACTTCAGCTGTCAGGTACGCATCTGTGAATGAACGTTATGTTCACAGACTGTGAGCATAACGTTCACAGATACCGTTCAATTTGAACGGTTCAAACTTGCAATGTTCGAATAATAGAAAGGTCCGCTTGGATTTGATTCCATTTATCCAAGGAAACACTCTGATCAAAAGAATCTTGATTACCGACACATTCATTGAATGAATTTCTCGGAATGAATTTCATTCCGAGCTTCATGTGTATTTAACTGCATTCAAAACATATGAATGTTCCGAGTTATGATGCTCGACCACCGAGGATTCTCTTCCCCATAATCTGAGAAAGACACCACAAGTCTGTCGCTAGACACGCTGTCAGCGTGTGAGTGCCTAGCCACTCAGCCACTCAGCGTGACACTGAGTGACCAGCATGACGCTAATAGGTCGATAGTCCAGCAGCCCGACTATTAGCTATCGAACTATTAGCGTCATGCTAGCCCGACTCCGGCTCGGCCGATCCGAGTTTTAATTCGACATTCCTAGACTCGATCCTCAGCGAAATCAAGTCGAAATGCAGTACCATCTTTGGTTCTCCGATCGGCCCAATAGTTGCTGTAGCTCGGCAGGAGTACGAGAACATCTCGGCATGTGAATTAGCAAGAACTGAGATGAATATCATGTCCGTGGCTATTCTGATACAGTTCAAGTATATACCTACATTCTGTGAACGATAGAATGGGGGAGCGTGGACGGAATTTGACCGTCAATGTCAGCGATTGCTGAACTTCGGTGTCTCGAATATCATATTTGTGGCTATTCAGATACAGTTCAAGCATACACCCAGATTTTGTGAACTAAAGAATGGGGAAGCGTGGACGGAATTTGACCGTCAATGTCAACGATTGCTGAACTTCGGTGTCTCGAATATCATATCCGTGGCTACTCCCATACAGTTCAAGTATACACCCAGATTCTGTGAACTAAAGAATGGAGGAGCGGTGACGGAATTTGACCGTCAATGTCAACGATTGCTGAACTTTGGTGTCTCGAGTATCATATCCGTGGCTGTTCTGATACAGTTCAAGTATACACCCAGATTCTGTGAACTAAAAAATTGGGGGCATGGACGGAACTTGACCGTCAATGCCAACGATTGCTGAACTTCGGTGTCTCGAATATCATATCCGTGGGTATTCCCATACAGTTCAAGTATACACCCAGATTCTGTGAACTATAGAGTGGGGGAGCGTGGACGGAATTGGACCGTCAATGTCAGCGATTGCTGAACTTCGGTGTCTCGAATATCATATCCATGGCTATTCCCATACAGTTCAAGTATACACCCAGATTCTGTGAATTATAGAGTGGGGGAGCGTGGACGGAATTTGACCGTCAATGTCAGCGATTGCTGAACTTCGATGTCTCGAATATCATATCCGTGGCTGTTCTGATACAGTTCAAGCATACACCCTGATTCTGTGAACTAAAGAATGGGGGAGCGTGGACGGAATTTGACCGTCAATGTCGACGATTGCTGAACTTCGGTGTCTCGAATATCATATCCGTGGGTGTTCTGATACAGTTCAAGCATACACCCAGATTCTGTGAACTAAAGAATGGGGGAGCGTGGACGGAATTTGACCGTCAATGTCGACGGTTGCTGAACTTCGGTGTCTCGAATATCATATCCATGGCTATTCCCATACAGTTCAAGTATACACCCAGATTCTGTGAACTATAGAATGGGGGAACGTGGACGGAATTTGACCGTCAATGTCAGCGATTGCTGAACTTCGGTGTCTCGAATATCATATCCGTGGGTTTTCGGGTTCTTGGACAGTGGAAGAACGCGAAGCTAATTTTTGTCGGTCCGCCTTCGGCGGACAACGACCACCGTGACACCGCTTAGTCACACTTCGCAAAGCGGACTTCGCATACCATGCGAGTTGCCTCTTCGAGGCTCGACGGGACTCGACCGAGGCTCGCAGGGAAGTAAGAAATTGTGAAACTCGACCGAGCTCGACCGAAAAACGAGTCGAGCTTCGAGGCTCGGCCGAGCCGAGCCTCGACTTTGAGCTATGGTCCACGCGTACACGCCGTATGCTGTTTCCATAGAAGGTGGCCGGCTAAGCCGGCTTGCGGCTGGCTGGTTGGTCTTCTAGACTAGGAATCGTTGCCTCGCCCTCCATTTTATCACAAAAGAACACTGTTCAACTGGCCAACGAAGTCCCCAGCCCTCTGCCTTGAATATTCCCCAAAATTTCACCCAGGGCGAGCGAGATTGCGTCCTTGACTATTCCCCATTGTCCTTGATTATTTGCATTTACCCCACTGAAGAGAGTAGAATTAGTGCGGAAAGAAGCGTTTAGGATGAGTAGGTAGGGAGTAACGTATAAGAGGGGCATATGCTGAAAATGGGGGAGTATGGGGGTTTCCTGGAGAAAGGAGGAGATACTGGGTGCCTTCCATCATGAATGTCCTCTAGCTCTAGCTCGAGA